TTCACTTTTCTTAACCCTCTGGATTATCACATGGCTGAAGCAGACCTTCGCAGAGGCTGATAAGAACGGTGACGGCAGCCTGAGCATCAGTGAGGTCCTGCAGCTCCTGCACAAACTCAACGTCAACCTGCCACGACAGAAAGTCAAACAGATGTTTAAGGTGCAGTTAAAGGTTTTTAATCTGCAGTTTTGAAGCTTGTTCATTCTAAAAATGTGAGAGTTCATTTCCTGGGCCATTTGTCTTCCTTCCGTCAAGAAGTAACATGAAGTAGATGAGTTCATAAACCTGGAGTAGTTCTGTGCAAAAGAGAGGGGCAGGGACGGTGTAGGCATGGATGATTTAATGAGATATGATATGATGTAGCAGTTTACTGAGGTAAACGATCTGATGAGTAGGATAGGAAACACTGGAGAAAGGGATAAATAGAAGATCCTCAGAGAAGATTTGTTGAATTGTGGAGAAGGAACTGAAACAGTTGGAACACAGCAGCCGAGGAAGAAAGACCTGGGGTCTGCTGACGACAGATGTTCTTTGAAAGAAACTGCCCAGAGAAGAGTAGGAGGAACAACATACACCCCATTAAGTTACCTCACCCAGCAGTTACCTCACGGCCCTGCAACCTGTCTACTACGATTTCCATCATCTTTACATATAGGTTGAAGAGTTCTGTTAGGCTGCTCTCATCCAAAAAGCCTCTTGGATGGGAGCTGAAACATCTTTGGGAAAACAACTCTTCAACCTTTAATCTTGATAGACATCTTCACATATAGTTACATATATTATTGTAGGGGTTAACAACTGTCCAGTACATAGTGTGGTCCAGCTGTACTGTGTACTGGACAAAATGTAGAAAGTTGACAGAACAGACGAACAGATGTTTGTTATCAGTTCGACCACAAATGTTAGTAATCAGGACACTGTGGAACAGGCCGTGTTGTTGGAGTCCAAACCTGCAGTGAAGATGGTCTGGACTAAGTCCAGCAGCCTGTTGACTGTCACCCATATGGTCCAGCTGAGACACAGATGGTCTTTGCTGTAAAGCAGGATAAATACAACCTGCGTGTGTGTGTGTGTGTGTGCACACCTGCATGCACTGTGTGGACATTCATAAAGATAGGTGTTTCTTGGCTTAGCCTACTTGACTTGACCTCTTTCTTGTTGACATTAGTCTTAGTGGTTATTGTGACATGACTAATCTGTTCAACTTATTACTGCAGCAGGTTCAATACTGTCAGTATACAGCGGAGAAAAAGGTTGAACAGCCACACCACAGTCTAATCTAAGTCCATTTATTTGTTATTAATAAAGCACATTCATATTTAATGTAACAATGAATGAGCTTCAAGTGTTTTAACCTTGTTTAATAGACAGAATAAATCTATTCAATTATCCCTTTGTTTATGGATCAGTTAAACTCATGTACTAAATACAATTAGTTGTGTCATCAAGTGTTTTGAATTTTAATATAAGACATAGACCTTTATTTATTTAAAGTAGAAGAAGTTAATCTGCAGTTTTTAATTGGCTGCTCTAAAAGATCGCAAAAAGAAAACCAAAGGAGAAAACATTTGCTTTAACACGAGCAAAACAAAGGATCATACAAAAGGCGATAAAAGGACCCGCCAAAGTGGAAATGTGGACAGACAAAAAGATGGATTGGTTTATTAATCCCTGGGGGAAATTGTAGTGTCGCAGCAGCCGGGTCACATAAATCACAAACAAATGAGTTGGGAGGGAAGGAAATTGACTGTAAAACAGGGAAATGATGTAAAAATACACAAAGCCAGAGCTGACAACAGAGATTAGCAGTTAATTTAGCACCAATAGAAATAAAAATGTACTTATCACACTTATATAAATTACACTTTCATTTTTATTATCATCTTTTTTTTAAATGGTTGTCTGACAAAGTGTGTGTTTTATAACCTCGGACTTTGAATAAAATTAATTTAAAGGCAGCAGAAAATAAATGGACTAGACTGTGACAGTTAGGTTAATAAAATACAAACAAACCCTTCAAGTCATTTCAACTGTACGGTATATTAACACATAGCACTATAAGTGCATTTATTCTACAGTGAACTGGCATAAATCATTATAGATTTTACAAACTGTTCTGACCATGTTGAGGTTCACTCTGACAGAGACCGTTCTCAACACACTCTCAAAATGAAAATAGTATGACACACTGTATGAGCCTGCAGACTCATCATACAAGTCCTTCATGTAATACAATCTAAAGTTTTACCTTTAATTTGCACAAAATGTCAATATTGGCCCAATACAATCCTCAGTGCCGGATCAAGAAATCCCTTGTGCCTTGTTAGGCAGCAGGTTAGCATTTCTCCTGACATCCAACTACATTTAAACTCACCCTGACTCATTGGTGCTCCAGTGCTGTTTAAGTGCAGTTTAGTCATGTTGCTGAGTCATTTTTGTTCCCAGATTTCCTCACAGTCTTCAAAAAATCAACACTGTTCTTGGCTATCTTGTCATTTATCCATTTTCATTCATCCCTGTTTGTACACCAGTTTACAAAACCCTAACACGGTGTTGTCTAAACTGAATGAAAGTACAAGTCGAGACGAGAAGCAGAGCCTTTACTCACAGTAAATAATATTCTTTTCAAGAAGCAGAAAGTATCACATTGTCTATCTCTGTGATTAGACATCACTGTCTTCTACTAAAGACTTCCTCCAGTGTGTGAACCTGTTAATCCATGCAGCCCTGAATAAGTCTTGTCCAAATGATTAATGCGCTCTGTTTGCATCTCTGCATCAACGTGTCATTTGGTCACAGTTGCAGTGGAGAACGTGTGACATGTTCACACAGAAGCGACTGCTGAGCCCTGTGGTGTGATGTGTGTCAGCTTCGTGCATCTGAGTCACTAGGAATCTGTTGACTGTCCCGCTGTCAGAGATGACTGTGGGATCAACACTTGGGGAGTTCAAGTTCAAACTGTTTAAGTCATTGTTAACGGGTTTCATATTAAGGAAACTATTATGTGCTGGGCACATGATGTGTTTAAATCCTCAAGTTTTAAAGTACTTTTTTATATAGTTATATAGTTGGAATGACACTGTTTTTACATCTTGTGCATTGAATTCATTCTGGGGACGAGCTCTAAGTCGGACAGACGTCACAGCCCTGCAGTGATCGGCCTGGCATATGGACCTGGTCACAGTCTGTCTCTGTAAACAGAGGCTGGGATTACACTTGTCATCCTGTGACCTACTGTAGTGCTCTCATTAACCTTGTTAGGGTCCACATATTGTAGTCCATATTGTAGTCTCCTTGACCCAGTCTATATGTTGTAACTTCTTCTTTCAGATTATTTTATCTCAATTTATATCCTTAGTTTTGTTCAAATTGAGGGTTAAAAAACCTGTTATTTGATAGATGTGTTAAATCAAATTTAAAAAAATAATTTTATTAAACATAAATAATGGAATTTAATACAATGATAAAAAAACATGTAAACTGCAGAGACCAACAAGTCTCACTGCAGAGAAGCAATAACACTACAGCAGTAGCCACTAAAAATAGATTTCATAGATACAACTGAAGGAGAGACATTAATGGACAGACAGTTTGTATTCACAGAACAAAGTTAGAGTTATTAATTAAATTTAGAAATGCTATTTTTAATTGTATAAAAAAAAGTCATGTGCTTTTTGGAATTCTTATATTTAAAACTCCCTCTTAGATCTAAATACGCTTGAAAATTCCACCACTAAATCTCATTAACACACATCTGTACACAGGAGGCCGACACAGACGACAACCAGGGGACCCTGGGCTTCGAGGAGTTCTGTTACTTCTACAAGATGATGTCCACCCGCAGGGACCTGTACCTCCTTATGCTTACCTACAGCAACCACAAGGACCACCTGAACTCTGACGACTTGGCTCGGTTCCTGGAGACTGAACAGAAGGTACGCAGAGTTATGCACTGCAGTACAGTAATTATTCACTGACTGAAGAGCTGAGCAGTATCCTGACTGATGGGTCGTTCTTCTATCATTGTATCACTTATATAGTGTGTATGGGCCTCATGCATATACACCAAGCTGTAGTATTGTACAGGCTGCTGATAATTACAAACCCTATTTTCAGAAAAGTGCATAGTTCAGATGAAAATGCGATAACATCACTATAATCATCAATAATCAGAATCATTTCATTATTGTTGTTCTTGTTTTGTAACTTTTTTTGACCAGGGTGCACTTTATAATCAGAGATGAAGTGTTTTTGTAGTGTTATTTGGTCATGTAGAAAACTGATTAAAGCCTGCACAAACTGAAAGCTGATTGATCTATATAGCAACACCAGCCAATCAGCATGCTTTGACTGGCAATACTGTTACAAACACAATGGTCACATCCTATTTAAATGAGTCAAAGAAATTAGACTTGATTTGGATGTCAAAGGCAGCTACTGAACAAACAGCTTCAGCCACAGTGGCACTGCATGTGTTCTGCTGCTGAACTCTTTCCACAGAATACTCATATTCATGTTGTTTGACACAAATTTCAATGCTTTGTAGATGACCAAGGTGACAAAGGAGCACTGTCTGGAGATTATCAACAAGTTTGAGCCGTGCAGTGAAAACCAAAAGGAAGGAGTTCTGGGAATCGACGGTGGGTTTGTTTCATTTGATTTTTTTTCATCCAAATCCGTTGTGTTCTGAAATAAGAATTAATAAAAATGTATACTATAAAAGACAACAGATGTCACTGTGAATGTCTTAATATTATATTTGGAATTTTTTTCTTTAACGGCAGAAAAGAAATATAATAATTGTGTTAATGTGTTGTGTGTTAATACTTTTTTATAAATGTATCTTAATTAGCAGTGGCATTCCAGCTCCACTTAAAGCTCTATTAAAACCTGTGATGATAATTAGAAGTTAAGATAAAGTGGTTTACTACATTAAATCATTAGACAGAATATGATACAAAAAATAACAGGTTGAAACAAAGGGCACAATATTAACAAAAAATAGTCAAGATGAAAATGTAGACTTACAATCAAAACGAGACGGATGATTAAAACAATTTACAAAAGGGTAAAGCCAATTAACCCTTCCAAAGGTGAATATGGTTAATAGGAAGGCTGCTTTTTATTCAAAGGAAAAGTTTGTTTTACAAAGTGAGTTGTCAAGGTCAGTCAAATTAACTGTAGGGTGGAGGTGGTCGAACACAGACAACATAGGATTTAGTTTTTGGTTCCCTTGGAACTAGTTTAGCAATAAAAATTAAATTCCATTTTAACACTTTATAACGTCACAGTCCACCTGGTTCTCAGATTGGGTTTGTGATCTGGATCGCTGGTTACCATGTTATGACCTCATAGCATTATTTGTAAAAAGACAAACTATGCATTATTTGTACTTGTTTATTCATTAAAAACCTTGTTGTTTCAGGTTTCACAAACTACATGCGGAGCCCGGCCGGAGACATCTTCAACCCTGACCACTACGACATCAACCAGGACATGAACCAGCCGCTTTGTAACTACTTCATCGCCTCCTCACACAACACCTACCTGATGGGTGACCAGCTGATGTCCCAGTCCAGGGTGGACATGTACGCCTGGGTGCTGCAGGCCGGCTGTCGCTGTGTGGAAGGTTAGTGCACGGACACGTCTGCAAAGAACGAGCCGGTTTGGAACTAGACAAAGAATTGCTAAACAATACTTAAAACATTGACTTTGAATAATAGTTGCTGAGTAGTTGAGTGGTCAGTCCTACCATAGTCTAGTGGCAGCTCCAAGATAATTCACCACAACAATGAGAGTGCAGACTCCAATACCACCTGAGAGGAAACATAGCCTGTTTTTTTTTTTTACCAAGGTACATGAAAGGACATCAGGTCACATGATTACATGCCACTCAATCACAGTGTCATATTTTTGTGATAATATTTTTTTAATTGTTTTACCTACTTGACAGCGATAGTACATTTTCCCTGACATTCATTGAGGACAGTGAAGACTGAATGGTCCACAACAGTAGAGCGGTAGTGTTGCTTTTTATTTGTTGTTCCAATTTGAGCATTTATTATTAAGTGTAAATGAAATTAAACCAAAAAGACAAGATACTGTAGGTTAATGGTGGATTTAGATTTTTGTAGCCCAGTTCTTAATGACACTTGTCTCTCTGTGCTCACCTACGGAAAATACACAGAAAAAGGAATTGCCTTGAAAGGTTATTTTGTGAAACTGTTTGTCTTTATAGAACAACAGAGGATATTTCTGGGAGGCATTGATGACTTCATTTAAAAGGCTCGAAGATTAATACCTGTGTAATGCCCTGATTAATTTGACTTTATTTTCGACAGTGGACTGTTGGGATGGTCAGGACAATGAGCCCATCGTCCATCATGGCTATACGCTGACCTCCAAGATCCTCTTCAAAGACGTTATTGAGACCATCAACAAATACGCCTTCGTCAAGAACGAGTATGTACACACAGCCATGTAGACACGGTACTGGTATACTTCAACAGTTCTGTACTTTACCTGTTCTTTCTTTTCCATTCTGTCTCATGCACTTTGACACAAAGTGGGAAGAAAGTTTACAGCCGTTGGACTGTTTCTATTTACTTAATACTTTAATAATATCATCTGATCGAGGTGGACAGATTGATCACATAGAACTGTAGCCTTGATTATATGGCTGTACGTTCTTATTCAGACTAAGCAGTTACCTCTGGCTCTGTCAGCCTTTTCTGTATGTGTGAACAATCTATAACACATCATTCCCTGAGATCCAGTCACTGACAAAGCTACGCTATAACATGTCCTTTGTACAATACCAGTTGTTGTCCTTTAGACCCTTTCTGTTGTTTTAGATGTATTTAGCTGTAATTCACTCGCAGGAAGTGCACATGCTCACACACACACTCGGATTTTCATAATCCCATTGCCGCGCACACTCAGTCTAGAGGGAGTAGGGGGAAAAAAATCTCTATTTTTAGACTCTCACTAAAATGACTGGGTTCCTTCTCTCTGTGTGGTATAAAATAATGATTTAAGAATCAAGGTCACAGTATTCCACAGAAAAAAAAGCCTCAGAATAGAAGAGGTTGAGAAGCTGAGTTCAGCATCGAAGAGGAAAATATGCCCAGGACCTGGAATGTAGTCACCCTGTGTTCACAGCTGTGAGTGACTATGTTCAGACTAGGGCTTTTCTCTGACAGAGACTGGGATTGGACTGAGATCAGTGTGTGTGGCCAGGCCTGCTTTGTGCCATCGTAGCCTCAGTGGTTGAGCTATATTTCAGCCTATTGAACATTCTAGTTGAGAATGTTTGAAGTACATCATCTGTTCAAGAGATTTTTTTTGCTTTCCTTTTCCTTATTATTAGGGATACTTACAGCTGCTTAATCCTGAGATATCCAACGTTCCTCTGTGATTAATCAGATTTAAAATGCTTATCACTTGACTGCATTTACAATGAACAGATTTGCTCCTAAAACAGCATCATGGAGCGTGTTGAAAGAGAAGCTTTAATGTTCATGATTGTTTTTCTAACGGTGTCAAAATGGTTACATTTAAACTATCTATGACACCGGAGGTCCCTTCAGCTGATCATCACATCACTGTGATTTCTCCTCAGGGAATCATTAACGGCTGCACATACTGCCGATTTTATGGCCTTTCATTCCAATGGATTCTTAGTGAGATATTTCAGTCAGCACTAGAACGGTCAGTCAGTGAACATTAGACCAATAATCAAATCCTCCAGAGTCAGATTCAAGTTTTTTTTTCCTATTTTTCTCTCATTTGTTGGCTGTTTATTTTAGATTATTGATATTTTATAACCTGTCCACCTGCAAGCGTGCACACACTCACAATTTTTCAAATTTGATGTTATTTTCTGTATCTGTGCAGCAGATATGTTTGAGACTGAAGTGTCTAGTCACGAAGTGGTCGTACTCTGAATCCTAAAATCCTTTCAGGATCTTAAGTTCCTTCAAGGAGTGTCTCAGAGTGAGCTGCCTTACACACCTCTCATCGCTGTCACTCCCCTCTGTTTTGTTCTTTTCCTCTCAGCTACCCAGTCATCCTGTCCATCGAGAACCACTGCAGCGTCCCTCAGCAGAAGAAGATGGCCCAGTATCTTGTCGAGATCCTGGGCGACAAACTGGACCTGTCCAGTGTCAAAGCTGATGAGTCTGGATGGCTGCCGTCTCCGGAAGCACTCAAGGGCAAAATCCTTGTCAAGGTAAAGTCAAGAATGTTTGGAGGGCACTCGTGCAGTGGTCAATCCTAACTCTGTGATCCTATTGGCTAATGCATGTTGCTTCAAAGAGCGGACTTTAACTGAGTGACAGGAGAATAACAGATGAAATGTTCTTGAAAAAACATGACGGCTCTGAAGGTGCAGTAATATCTGACCGTTGGCCGCTTCATTATCTGAACTCTGGGCTGTGCTATTATCTAACAACAATATTTAGAGATGACTCTGTTCACACACACATTACAAGAGGAGCTGGGATTTGGCTCCCAGTAGAAAAAATTTAAAAAATCTTAAACACTAAAGATAACCAAAGAGTAATGCTTCCCTGATGAGTTTCAAAATGTTTTTTTTTTATTTTAGCAATTGTGTTTTCACAGAAAAAATCTTTGGCTAATAATTATTTATGTAATAAAATAACTATAAACTATTTTTTCGTTGACCCATAAAACTTTTATTTTTGTTTATTTTAGCATTTGTTTTAGCTTGTTACAGATCCTATGAACTGTTGCAGAACAGTAGGCTTTACACCTGGCTCTAACCAACAGCAGGTGACCATGTTGGAGAGCAGCATTAGCAGCATTAGCAGCATTAGCAGCATTAGCAGCATTAGCAGCATTAGCAGCATTAGCAGCATTAGCAGCATTAGCAGCATTAGCAGCATTAGCAGCATTAGCAGCATTAGCAGCATTAGCAGCATTAGCAGCATTAGCAGCATTAGCAGCATTAGCAGCAGCAGCAGGTCTCTGTTAGCAGGAGAAGGAACATTTTTCAGGTTAATTAGTCTGTATTGACACCAGATGCTTTAAGTAAAATGGGGGCACTGTGCCAGCTCCTGGCTCACTCACCGCGTCTCTGCCAGCTGTTCAGCTGGCACTGCTATATCTGCCCACTCTCAGCACAGTCACATGGTTGTCACCTAAGTATGGAACACTGTCAGGGAACACTTAAATGAAGCGCTCTGGCCCGCAGTACTCGTGCTGCACAACATCTCAGTGGGTTTTCAGGCTGTTATCACCCACTCAGTGATGCTGTGGGCATCCACATCTTCGACACCACAATGAACGATTACTAACCACAGGACAAATTGTCACACTTGATAATGAAAAATGTGTGGCTCAGGCAGTGAGAGTGGGGCCATCTGTTACCTGTACCCGTGGATCTGAACGTTCTTCACTGCTGAGTCTCTTAACTGCTTCCCCCGGAGGCCAGTGAGTAAACTCGATATCCACCTTAACTGGACTTTAAATCAGCCACTAAATCTTCTGTTTGACTGGATCCCACCTGCTCTCAGGAGTTGTTCTGTGTCAGAAATAACATCAAGAGAGATTAGGAAAAAAGAGGCCTTCAAGTGTTTGCAGTTTCAGTGAAAACACCTAGAGACTTGATAAACACGGAGGGATCTATCTGAGGAAGAAGAAGAAGAATTACAGATGAACTTTTTATTCATAAATGTGCATGTCTTTCACTCTCTCACTCAAAGGGCAATCTTTGTCTCTAACACCAAAAAGAATAATCCAGTTCCTTGTAACAAGTTGGCAACACTGAGATATTGGTATTACCAATGTGTGCCAGAGGATTCAAACCAAGGAACATCGTAAAATCCATAATTCAGCTAAAGGTACATTCTGAACACGTTTTCACTCGGCTCTCCTCACGGAGGTGTGAGGTTCAGGCTCAGAATAGAAAGTTAATGCGACTAGTTTTCTTGTGTTTAGACATAAGAAAATGGAAGCAACAGTTCAAATGAGTTTCTCTGACGATCAGACTTCTCTCCGTATCATACACTGATTTATCTTTAGTTTAAAACAATCCTTTTCAGTTTGTTCTGCTCCAACAACTTGTTACCGGGCTTTCACCAAAAGACTGAGCTGAGGTGACTACTTGTTTACGCACAGAACTTGAAGGATGATGCTCTGCTGGAATGAATGCTGCAGCTGTGTCTAATTTTCATGTGAGTGTCTAATTCTTCTCCGTCCCACCAGGGGAAGAAACTGCCTCCCAACATTGATGAGGACGCAGAGGAAGGAGACGTGTCGGACGAGGACAGCGCAGATGAGATGGAGGAAGACTGCAAGCTAATGAACGGAGATGTATGTTCCCTCTGACATTTCCCTCCACCTTAACACTTTTATCTTGCCCTAGCAGTTCCACGTGCTCTCGGCGGTGTCCAGCTGATGAAATGTGAACTGTTATTTCCTGTTCTTGATGGCTCTTGTTGAGACTAAGCAGTGATGATGTAGTGTTCTCCTGTCGTCGCTCCTGTACCTGTGTTGTTTGCTCCTGTCTCCTTCTTGCTCTGCGGCTATTTGTTCTCATCTCGTGCTCTTCTTCTGTCTCCTCTTCTTCTTTTTTCTTCTCTTCAACTGTTGCTTGCTTCTTTTAAAGTGGAAGGTACTGTATACAAACATTCTCCTCGAACATCTTAGTAATGTCACGCAGTCACATTAACTCATCCTGTGTCGTGTATGAATTCCATGTTGGATTCCAAATATGCACATGAACATGAGCCGATGCCCTGTTTATACCGATGTCTCAGAACACGTGGTCCATCGCGGTGCCACCTTGGAAAATTAGTAATCTGTCTTATAAATCTAATGTTAATCAAACTCAGGAATGCTTTGCACACAGCAAACCCTCGTAAAAATATATATTTATGTCTAAAAGTTTTGAAAATGTATTCCCCTCTGGGATATGGTTTGATTTCAAGAAACTTCTACATGTTGCATTACCTTCAAAACCCATGAATGTACTGCAAAAAGGAAAACAAACCAAAAAATGGGTATAAAACTACCATCCTTTAACACCAAGCTCTGAAGTGTCCACTCTAGGATTTGACAGTTGTTGTTTTTTCTCGTTGAATTTGAAATGAGTGTTGTTAATTAGGTGTGAAGCATCAACTATGTAGAGAATACAGACCAGATCCTTGAAAATGTCTTATTTCAAAATGTCTGGAAGTGCAATAAGTTCTTTTTCCTGACAGGGATTCTCTTCTAAATCCCATTCTAACACTTCATTTAGGATATACATTATATTTAATTGGATGTTAGAGATAAAACAGCTATATTTCAAAGCCTGGTTAGTGAAATCCCCAGAGAACTGCTAATATCCTGCACTGCAAACTCTGGGCTGTAGAACCAGAGCTGTGTAGACAGGGAGACCTGAGACCTGCAGGTTCGTGGATTCACACTGCCACGGTGTGGCTGAAATGAGCATGTGCATAGAGAAGTCTGTCGTTCCTCTCTGCTGTCAGGTTGATGAGTGGCTTGCATTCCAGAACATTCCATTTACCCATGGTTAAAGATCTACTTTCATTATCAGTGGCTTTAACCTGTTCTATTCCGGAGGGAACCTGCATGATGAGCACTCAGAGTCATAGTAGAACATGGACAATACATACAGAGATGTATGTATTATTGTCAGACACTTCTCCCTCTACTGTTTATTGGTCTTATCTGTGAAGCATGCTGGTAACGATTTCACCAAAACTACTGTTCATGAGTCAGTATCTTGAACAACATTATATTTCTCATTATGGCCAGGTGTACAGAGTCATGGAGTCTGCAAGACTGATGTCTGCAGGAATACACTTTCACACTGATGTGGTGACACAAGACTATAATACATCATTCACCTCCCTTTCTCTTCACTGACATAACAATCATCGTCAGTTTCTACAAATAAATAACTCCAAAGTAGCTTTATGAAATAATGTAAAATCTTTGCGTATAATGACTCAAAATAAACATAAAACCAACAGTTGAGCAGGTGGAATCCTCTTGTCTACTGTCCTTGTTGACACTCTCTTCTCTGTGTAACTGTTCCTCCAGACTTCTGCCAACAGAAAGCAGGTGGAGAACATGGCCAAGAAGAAGCTGGACAGCCTGATGAAGGAGTCCAAGATCCGAGACAGAGAAGACCCCGACAACTTCACCATCACCGCTCTCCCACCCAGCGGCAAGTCCACGGACAAAACCAGAAAACAGAAGGTAAAGAAAAGTACAGTGTCAGTGCACGCTCACGAGGTGAAGTCAAATACAAATACAGAAGTCAGGAGCAGTGAAATGAAAGGGCAGTGAATGGAACAAAGACTGTAGGTTTTCAACAACACAGGGTTTGAAACAATAAGGTGTGAGGTAAGGACTTAAGTAATAATCAACTATTATTGTTGTTGTTATTATTGTTATTGTAAATTAATGCCCAGTGTTAACCTTGTTGGTTCATATTTGTTAAATAATCGTTTATAGTTTATATAAATATTAGTATAAGATTTTATGACATGATTTTCACTACACTGCATTTTTCATTTGTCATTTTCCTTCGAAATTTACAAATCTGCCTGGCTCGTGCATCAGGGTAAAACTGAAGATGGCGCTGACACAGCAGACGAGGCCAATCCCAGCAACAAACACACAAGTCGCTCCTTCATTAACAGCTTCTCCAAACGCAAGGTTGGCCTCTTCACTCCTCCTCTGTCCATGAATACTTTGAACAGGGAACAGTGTTTGCAGCAGATGTAAAACAGATCTCACATAACAAAAAAAATAAAGGCCATAAGTGTACATTTCCGTTTGTGGTTTTTAATAAATTTAGTAAATGTTGTTTTAATGTCTTTTTCTGAATCTTAGAGAAGCTCTCATTTAACTGTTTATCACAACATTTTCTTTCCCTGATTTAAAATGTATGGTCTTTTTTTTCCATTAACCACAAATGATGGATTCTTATTTTAACAAAGGTTTCTTTGTTTTCATTCACTTCAAAACTTTCATTGTTACTGCTCCAGAAAAAGACAACCAAACTGAAGAAAACTTCAAGCTTCGAGGACACAGACACGGACCCGGAGAGCACCAGCAGTGCTTCAAGAGCTCCGTCACACCACAGCAAGTATGTGACCAGCAAATGCAGATTTTAGATACATAGATAGATAATGTATAGCCAAAAATGTAACACCGGGGATTGATTTTGTTGGACTCACAGAAAGAAGAAGACCATGAAGTTGTCCAGAGCTCTCTCTGATCTGGTCAAATACACTCGCTCTGTTGGTTTCTACGACATCGAGGCTCAAGGTATGGGGCATTACTCTCAGTGTGCGTGGTTTTCAGCATCACTTAGTCAAACAGAGGAGAACTAACTAGTCCAACTAGTCTAGAGGTCTCAGAGTAGGAGCAGCCAACCCCTGCAGTCAACAGGTAGGGTTGGGGTACACACTGAACAGTTTGCCAGTCCATTCACACCAGCATAAATAACAATAGTGGTTTTTTCGATTGTCCAGTCAACCTTAACACTAATCTGCACGGCGATGTTGCTGATTGAAAAGCTATTAAAGCTTTTTGTTGTACATAAACAATTCACAGTATATATATGTATATATAATATATATTTGTTTGTGTAAATGTATAAATACTGTATATACTAAAATATGAAACTAAAATATGTGGTGTTTGAAATGTATCACTACAACCATCTACAACCATATATATACACACAGTATACTGTGTATACTCTAAATACATGTAACTGAAATACAGATATTAGGTGTAGCTTTATTTCAGTTAATTTATGTGGTCTTTGAAATCCATCACTACAACACCATTTACAGCCATTCTAAATCAAACCACATGTAAGTAATTGTCCATCAATGTGCCATCTTTCATAGGCTGCGTTGTAATCACAGTGTAATCTAATATATTTTGGGGTGATGTTCAGCTCATACAGGTAATGTTTATCTTCCTGATGATGAGGATGAGTTTGCGGTTCCTCCAGACCAGTGTGTTAGTAAATCAGAGTCAACGTCAGATCCATTTTGACTTTTAATTCACTACTGCCAGAGAGTTCACGAGGTATTAAAGATATATAGATAGGAGCGTCTTCATCACCAACAACAACAAAAATAATTTGTAGCGTTGCTGAGTTCTTCCTTTGATGAAACATGTATCCACCTACTGCATCAAACAAAGTTGTTCCTGCGTCTTTTCCTGCAGCCAACTGCAGCTGGCAGGTGTCCTCACTCAGTGAGACCAAAGCCCATCAGCTGATGCAGCAGAAAGCCATGTCCTTCATCAAATTCAACCAGCGGCAGCTCTCGCGCATCTACCCTTCATCTTACCGTGTTGACTCCTCCAACTTCAACCCTCAGCCCTTCTGGAACGCTGGCTGTCAGCTGGGTATGAGTTCTGTCCATGTTTTCACTCTGTTATCATGCAGTCTGCAGTGGTGTCATCCCATAATTATCAAATTCACGAAACATTACAACTTTTATTCCAGTTGCACTCAACTACCAGTCTGATGGTCGAGTCCTGCAGCTCAACAGAGCCAAGTTCTACAGCAATGGCAACTGTGGCTACATCATAAAGCCTGCCTGCATGTGTGAAGGTCAGTGTAATAAAACACAAATGGAACGTTAACTACTTTCATATAAAAAAAATAAATAAATGATTGAAAAACCTGAAACTTGATTATATCAAGGTATCTTTAACCCCAACTTGGAGGATCCACTGCCAAATCAGATGAGGAAACAGTTGGTGTTGAAGATCATCAGTGGACAACAGCTGCCCAAACCCAAGGATTCTATGTTAGGAGACAGAGGAGAGGTGAGACACTGACACCACTGAAGTGTTAGTCAAACCTACAGTGGACACAGATACCTGTAGTACTGTATATTTACACAAAATATTTTTGTCCAATTAACTTTCATTAATCATGAATAATGATGATTTTATACATGGTTTTATTTAATATTTTATTTCTTTAAAACATTTTTAATGTCAACTACAAGCGTCACCTCACAGAAAAATAAATCCCTGCAACAGTAAACCGCTTCAACTTGACAGTGACTTTACACCAAGTGTCCTGCAAGACGTCTCTTTGACAAGTGTCAAAACAAAGCTGAAAAAAAAATGTTTGCCTCAGGCCCAGACTTTTCCTACATTTGAGTTTCTGTCTCAGTTTCTAGAACCTTCCCTGAGCCTTTTTGTCAAGAATCAGGAAAGAAACAAATACAACAAGTGGCATTTGATTTATTTAATATTCATTTTTTCAAATGTGAATTTTAAAGGTTGAATTTCATATGCAGTTTAATTTTCAATACTTTAACAAAAAAAAACCATCACTTTACACCATAGTTGTGTGTCACAGTTAAAGCAGATCATATAATAAGTCAAGGTCAAGTCAAGGTCAAGGTCAGCTTACCTTCACATGTACAGAACATACAGAGGTATCGAAATTACGTTCCTCGCCTTCCCGCGCGCTGACAGACATAGACAATACTGAACGAAAAACATTAAGGTGCAATAACAATAAGGTGCATGTGTAGATTTAAGGTGCTGTATGGTCTGTAAAAATATATACATGAGGTACATAATAAATATAGTAATAATATAATTAGCAGCAGATGAGGTGGTAATAGTGCAAGTCTGATGTCAAAAAGAAATCCTGAACTTGCTGCTCCCCGTCTGTCAGATCATTGATCCATTTGTAGAGGTGGAGATCATTGGCCTCCCAGTGGACTGCTGCAAGGAGCAGACCAGAGTGGTGGACGATAACGGTGAGTCAACAGAAAGTTACGGATGTCAGTTTGTCCAGCTGCAACATTTGATCCTAGTGCTGGTTCTCGGCAAGATTTCAGCCAATTATTTCTGGTTTGTAAAATAAATAACTTCTGCATACATTTATCGTTGTCATTTACAGTGACATTATAGGCATTTATGGAGGAAATCAATTCATTTTTAGTTCTCATAATATTCACTGTTTACTTTAGCCATCGTTGCCCTGTTGGTCGATTCTTTTATTTATATATATATATATATACAGTATATATATACAGTGTATATATATATTTAGTTTCATTCTTCTATAGTTAAAAACAATGACCAAAATAAATTGATCAAGTCCATGAAAATCCAAACTTTTTTTTTCCAACTAATTGTCTCTTCTTTTTTGCAGCAGCAGCAGCATTAGTCATTCTCTTTTCTGACTGTGCTAGTAGCACATCTATCAATTTCTTCAGTGTAATTTAGCCAGTATAGATAAAATGGAGGACATTTATAGAATGTTAATAAATCGTGTTAATCTGAATAACTGAATCAGTTCTAGACACGTTGAGTTTTCTTTCCGGATGTTGCTCTTTGTTCTAATCAGTTTTGACACCACGACTGAATGGAATTGATTTCTTGCTGCAGAGATAAATTACTGTGACTGCTGCAATGTTTTCTTTTCTATGATAAATAATTTTCCAGGAACTTATGGTTGATGCTATGACAAGACCCTTCCCATCTTTCTAATTAGTGTCTCTTCTGCAGTGCTTTCACACTAGTAATATCCAATAATAAAACCCAGCTTGGTTTATCTGGATATCTAGAGTACAAGGACGGTGATATTTTTTTCTAAGGTTTTTGTTGCAGAGTAATTTTCAGATCACTCATTGTGTCAGTCACTCTCACCCTGACCCTTTCATCATGTTTTGTTGTTGGCTTTAAGTAAACCAGAAGTTTGTTGTGGTTTACCTTAACATGCAGTGTGTGTGTGTGCCTGTGAGAATGAGAGTTGTCTGTTTGAATTTTGGTCCATAATTGATGAGTTCAGCTTGAGATTTGCGTGGCCAGCAACTGTCTCTGAACACACACACACACACACACACTTTGAATATCTCTTGAGTGCTGAGCTCAGTATCTAACTTTGTCCTGTCCTTTCTCTCTGTCCTCCTTCTCGGTTACACTCCCATTTCTTCTTTCTTTTCCTCATTCTATTATTTTCTGAATTCTTCACCTGGTCTCCTTCGGTTCTCCTCATCCACACCTGCTCCCTTTCGTCTTTTTTGGGATGAACGGCTCTAGGTTTCAACCCCATGTGGGAGGAGACTCTGGTGTTTACAGTACACATGCCTGAGCTGGCTCTGATACGGTTCCTCGTGTGGGATCATGACCCCATCGGCCAGGACTTTATCGGTCAGCGGACCATTGCTTTTAACAGCATGATGCCAGGTGAGAAATGAGGACTGAGTTCCTCTGAATTTTGATGTGATTGTATTGAAGTAGCTTTATTCGTGCATGTTTAGGTAAGATTTCAAACCATTGTTTAGTTCAACATGTTCATTCAAATGATTGAATGAATTCTAAAACCATAATGCACTGTTTCTAAAATTAAAACAATTTTTATTCCAAGTTAATTTTGCATGTCACCAACATTCAGTGAGTGCAGTTTTTGCAGTATAATACAACCATAAATTGAAAAAGCAGTAGTCCTAGTATAGTGCTCTGCGATGCATTATTCCCCAAATTGCTGTGTTGCATTGCCTCGTGATACTTTTACTATATAGAGTCAATACTGCTACTGTAATATTCACTATTATTATGAGAACTATTAAAGTATTTATTTTATTAGTATATGAATAAAGAAATCATTCTGAAATCCTGTGTTTTTTGTGTTTGTGTGTAGGTTATCGCCACGTGTACTTGGAAGGTATGGAGGAGGCCTCAATCTTTGTTCATGTAGCTGTGCATGACATCACTGGTAAGGTAGGTATCATAATGAAAATCAGCTTGAAACAGGTTATTTTATTCATGTGGATTCCCCCCAGAATAGGTGATTTTTGATTGATTAGTTATGTAATATGTATTTTTTTTAGAATGGACTTTTTACAAAGATTTATTGTTTATTAGCAGTCAAACATCACATACCACCAAAAACAAACCAGTCAAACATTATAATGAGTCATTGATGACTCATGGCCAACATCAACAGAACTATTTGGTGAATAACTGATCGTTGAATTTACATTTAGGCAAAATCATAAAGTTGACCTCAAGCTTATCCAATATACTGAGATGTGAAAAAAAAACTCTTCTCTATCAGTCCAAGATTCTATTGTATTTAATTCACTTGTCTCAGTTTAATACTACTCTTTCTGTAGATGAATATCAGATTCAACCATTCAGATCAGACCATGCATATACTGCCTCATATCGAATGTGTTTACCTGCTATGATTTCTGTCTCCAACTGTGTTTTTTGGACATGAATGATACATTTCTATCACTGTCTCTCTTTGAACCGTCCACTGTCCCCAGACGTCTTTCAAAAGACCACTCTGTTCGTCATTGTCTTTGCTCGACTTTCTCCGTGTCAGCTGTTCCTGCTGTGTTGCCTCCTGTCGTGTTTGTCTTTCTTTCATCCACTTCCCTTCTTGTTTTTCTTCTCCTCTCTCTTTCATCCTCTCTTTTTTCTGATATGTTTTTCTTCTTCTCTCCTCCTCTGTCTCTCTGTAATTCCAGTGGACCCCTCTTTTTCCAAACGCTCCATTTAGAGGCAAGAAATTTTTAGGAGTCCTGAAGCTGCCGATCAGAACTCAGGTGTAGTGAGACCCAGTCAGCATCTTGCATGAGCTACACACTCCACCTACGTGAACCCCCACTTCACGCACTCCCTGTTAACTGCCAACTGTAGAAAGACCAACTCATGTCTGACATGAGTTATTATGGCTTGACCTTCCTGCATCTCCATTGACCCCCAAGTAGATCCAACGTCATAACAGTAGATCAGTGAAAGACCTGGAGAAAACTGAAGAAAGCAGTAGTGTGTGTGTAATCTGTCAGACTGCAGTGACTTTACCTCTGCTGCTTTTATGCGCAGAGCTGTTTTATCCTCCTAACTCAGGAGTTTTGCTACTGCACTGCAGAAGGATTCAGTTCCACTGCCTCCAGGACACTGTGTTTTTTCTTCCTTTTTTTCTGCACCAGATTTCATCATGTCCTTTCTGTATTTTATGTTGAGACTGCTTATGTTCCCGGACATAGGGATGCTGTTTTTACGAAAAACAACAAACATCTGGACAATTTGATTATATATATATTTGTATAGCTTGCACGCTTGTTGAGCTATAGAACAGCAAAGATCCATGTTTCAGGTGTTCATTTCTAAACAAGTCGTGAATGAATGAATCATTAAGATGCAGAAAATCCCTGCAAATTTTACCTATATCAGTGAATATGTGTAATGAGTAAATGTGCAGGTCTTAGCAAATAAAAATGAATAAGTAAAATTTAATCCAGTGTAGAAAGAAAAGATTATAGTCTTCAATTGAAAGATTGCAAAAGGTCTGAATATTTTAAAGGAGTTGTTCTATGTTCGCTCTATTTTCTCTCTGTCTGGGTATTTGCTCCTCTCTCGCCCACTCTCTTTTTCTCACCCTCCCTTCCTCTCTCTCTGTCTCTGCCTCTCTCTCTTTCTCTGTCTCTCGCTCTCCTGGCTCTGTTTCAGTAGTGCAGCACTGCCATAAAGTATAGATTATTTTAGCCTTTTTAGTTTTTCAATGATCACATATCTTAAATGGATGAGTAGGTGGTCTGCCCCTGTGGACCGTTTACACCCGTGGAAACCGAATGCTGCTACTGCACCACTGAAATATGACATGACTGAACAACAAAGATTTCCTTGACAAATATAAATATTTAATTTATGCAGAACCTACCTCGTAGATTTTAAAGTGTGCAGCTAAAAACGGTGAGACCAGACTAACTGGAACTGATGATGATGGTGAGACTGACAACAGTTTACAGGTAACGCTGTAATTAATATATTTAGCCAATGTTTGAGCAGATTACTCTTCCGTTCTTGGGCTCCTGTCAAACAGATGTTCCAGGAATAAATAGACTGGTGCAACTTAGGGTTTTTTTTTTTCCCTATTCATACACGTTTTGACAGATGCCGCTTATACAGTGTGGTGTGAAGTCTAGATAATACAGCAAAATTTAACATTTTTTGTTGATTTAAAGTTTAGATAACAAAAAACCTAGAATATTGTTTGAGATTTTCTTCATCTTGGTCTTAGAACATTATCTACAATAATGGAGGCTGAGGGGTTCAACACCAGACTAGACTTATTGTCCAATAGTAAGAGAATGGTTACCTTGTTTTTAACACTAGAATTTACAACAAATGTTCCTTGTTACCAAAAAGTATTTTTACAAAATGTAAATGTAATCCAAACCTATTGTTTTGACCATGACTGGTACCAGACTTACTTCTGAAAGACAATTTGAAAAACAGACATTTCAATTGTGTGAGAAATTACTCACAGTCTGGTTCCTCTTCTCCAAACGTCACTCAGCCACTGTATCCTTTCTTTAGCGTGTCATTTTTCCCCCTGCGTGTCTGTGCTGTCACTTTCTTTTTGATGGCTCAGTGAACCATTAACTGCAGTAAACCATTCACCACAGTCGTACTTGGATCTACTTCTGTCATATTTCCAGCTTGTTGGTGTGTCAGATTTTTGTTTCAGGCTTTATATAACGCTTATTATGCCTAATATAAAAACTAATTTTTCCAGAAAAGTAAGTGTAAGCTTTCAAAAATGCTGAGAAAATGAAATACTGAATGTGCTTTGGTAATGTATGGGATGCTCTTTTGAAAAGCAAGAGACTACTGTGTTTTACTGAGCTTAAATTTCAATTTAACGTAAACCTGTCGGGATATGAATTCCTGATATGGACCTACACTATTTATTGATATAATAAAAATAAAAATATAATGATTAGATATTTGTTTTTACGTGTGAGGAAAACACAATAGGTACCAGCTTCCATTCACTGCAGGTTTTAGTTATGACAGTTTAATTGACAGTTCCATATATGAGCATGTGCAACTTCATCCTAAGGATAGTTTGTTGTTCATTCTTAACTCTACACTTGATTTGTGTTTCAGAAAACTATCAAATTCACAGTCTGTTTGAGAGTCCCTAAACAGCTGGCTCTTGTATGTACACCAATACCAGATCATTGTGATATGGCAGCAGCTGCAACCGTACAGACAATCTCCACACACTCATTTCCTGTAAAAGGAAATGAAAACAAAATCAGTGATTGCCTCATCTCTGTCTACCCAGTCTTTATATGAGATCAAATGTACCCCTAACCTGAAGCATGACTTTTTTTTAAATGTACTGTATGTTTCACCTCAGGACCAGACACTACAGGCCTACAATGTTCTTCAAATTAACAGGTTACCACTTTGAATCCTAATGGAATTCAAAGCTTTTCAGCATGGATTACAACAGAATGATCACATTACTGTGAAGGCTACAGGTGATCATTCAAACATGTTCTCACCGGATCGATTTTTTTTTTCACTTACTAAAGCATGCTTTACCTACAATAATGCAGCATGGACCAACTCCAGCTGCATTATGGCCGGGATTGTTCTTTGTCTGAGTTACGTCGTGTTTCGAATTATGTGGTGCATGTGTGTTTGACTGCGGTGTTCTGTTCTGTCTTTGTCAGGCCAGAGCAGCCAGCGGCATAAAAGGGCTGTTTCACAGAAACCCAAAGCAGGCTTCCCTGGACAGCCATGCTGCTGCACAGCAAGGCCGTAAGCATCCGTTCGGTGCCCACCTTCTGCGCCGCACTGCCAGTGCGCCCACCAAGGGTCAGCCCAAAGTCAAGAAGGGCTTCCCAGAAATCACCATTGACACCAAAGAATACAGTTCAGAAGGCGCAAGTGAGGAGCGAGAGTCGGATGACCGGGACAAGGCCTCAGCCGCCGCCTCTCACCAGCCAACCCCACCACAGCACCACGCTGGGGATTCACTAGCTTCCCATCCAGACAAGGGGCCCAGGGATCATCCTGACACCAATGGGGCTTTTCATCCTGAGGAGGCTAAAGGTAAGAGTCCTCATTTCACTAACAGACGACCCATGAGTGAGCCTCTGAAACGAGCCGCTCGGCTCCATCTGAATGAACCAGCGGAGATGAAACCTGGGGTTTTCGCACGTGTTGCTCTTAAAAGCTCAGGCAAGGTTGGGGTGTCTTCCAACTGTATTACATGTGTGGTCAGTTCCAAAGAGAGTCCAGAGACTGAAAGAAAAGTTGCAGAGGAGAGAGGGAAAAGAAGTAACGGCCATTCCTCCAGCAAGAGACACGTTCAGCCAGAGTCTGTAGCCCAAGTCCAGAAGTCAGCTCCTCAACCGGAGCTGCAACAGTCTCCCCTTAAACTCACAACCAGCATGGAAGCCAAATTTCAGTACGTCACCAGATCCAAAACCAGACAGACCCTGGGCGTCCAGCACGTCCGACCTCAGCACGTGGCGTCACAGAGAAACGCCCGGTCCTGCAGTGTTCCCCGCCGACGCACTCCCACCTCTTTAAAACCAGCACTGAGCGTCAGACCAGACTGCAGCACCCACCTCAGTTGGCAGCAGTCGACACCACCTAAATATGGCACCTTCTATGGCTCGATGCTCGCCTCGTCCCCTAGAAGTATCCTTATCGGAGAGTATGAAGCCGTCTCACTCAGCGACAGCAGCAGCTGCGACAGTCTGAGCAGCCTGGAGTTGCCTCCTGTGCTTCAGTCTCGCTCTGCTCTGGATGGTCGTAAGAGGGCCGTCGGAACCCTGCAGAGAGAGATGAACGCACTCTTTTCTCAGAAAATGGAAGAGTTGCACCACAGGTCCCCTATGTTCTTTGCTGGTAAGATGGCATCAAAGGTAGAGATAACCAGGTAGCCAGAGTAGAACGTTCCAAAACAGATACGTCTGTTGTGGTCATCCCGTGTGGGTTGCTGTCAGTCCTTAGATGATTTCCTGTAGGATACTAGCTGCTTTCAGATTGCACTGAAAACCCAGACAAAAGTGCAAATGTCAGCTTCCATCATTCCCCAAAACTTTCCTGCCAAATCCCTGATTAGATCTCTAGGTGATTCCCTGTTCTCTTAGTGATATTCCATATTCCCCTTTTTTTCAAATCAACGTGCAAAAGCTTTTCAATGTCCTTATTTTTCATGTTTCCCTTCTAGATATAGTTTAACATCCTGGATTTGTTTTTCTCATGTCTGTTTTTGAGTCTTGTTATAGATTTTCTCAGCTAATTGATTTTTTCTTATTTGCCTCAAAATGTTAACCACGTGCTCAGCAGATGAAAAAAGTGGTAAGTTTCTACCTTTAGAATTTTCTTTTTGACAGTTGAGCCTAATTTAGCCCAGAGGCTAATCCAGAATTTTGCCTTTATTTCCAATGTAGGTTCAGAAAGTCATGACTATATTTTTTATTATCATAAATGTGGAGCAGGGGTCACAGATACGTGAGAACCGGACCACGTCCACAACCACCCCCCAACCCCCCCTCCTCCTCTTCAGCTTTACTTCCTGCAGCTGTTCAGTTCAAACCCACTTCTCTGGGAGTTAACTCGATCTTTTCTGGCTTACAATGGCTGAGTTGTGCTGACATCTGTTCCTCATGATGCTGACAGATAATGTTAATACCGTCTAATAAATTGTTCTCCGAGCGGGGAGGGGCCGAAATGATGCTGCTTCTTATTCTACAGACTGATTGCAGTAATGTCTGTGGTTCAGATGCTGCGTCTGTGAACTGTTCCCTGGCCTCTGTTTCCTCTTCGCTCTGATTTTGCTTAACTCCTCTGTTTCCTCTCTGTCCCTTTTGCACGCTCTCTCTGTTCCTAGTGCAGAATTGAAGGGATGACCAGAGACAGGTAAAGTGCTGAATGCATGCTGTCCTTTTAGTCTTTCGTTATTTTCCCTGTTTTCCATAATTTCCCTTCACTTCACCCACTAGTCTCCTTGTCCTATCACCCTGCACTGTCACTGTAGTGGAGGTGGTTAAAGTAAAAATAAACCATCATTCCTAGTCATTCACACAATCTTGGTATGCACTAAGTAACTGTCTCACAGTTTGACACACATGGGCAGTTGATCTGGAATTTGGGAAACAAAATGCATTCTGCTATTTGATGGCCTTTCTCTTTGACTTCAGTGTTTTTTATTTGACAAGGACAGACACATTGGGGTTTTTTTTTTTTTTTTTGCCACTTTTGGACATACAGTAGCGTAAATTATGTCAATCTCAACCAAGTCTCAGTGTGAGACGGTGCTCACACTTTTTTAGGGTTGGGAGCTGCTGTTCAAATGACCAGGTGTGACTCAAGGAATCTACCTATGTTAAAAACATTAAATATACAGTATATTTACACATATAAACTGACTTCATACCAACTATGTATAGAGGTACTGATTGAAAATGCACATTTATGGCACAGTATGATTTAATTCTTACAGTATATGGATAATTTTTTGTTAAACTTTTTTTCTGGGGACCCGTATTTTGAAAGTCACAAACCTTTGCGACCCAAGTTAATAGACATTATTCGTAAACCCCTGGGAAACACGATGCAAAATGACCCAAAAAAAACCTCTTGCAACCCACCTCAGGGTCGCGACCCAGTCTTTGGGAAACAATGCATTATGTCATACCCATTGATCATGAATTTTACGCATAAGCTAAGAGTTACAGAATGAGTTCTGTGGGCAAAATCTGCACAGATCCAAACCTGAAAATTATTATTATCCCTCCTCAGTGTGAGGATTCTTCAGCGACCACATTGGTGATGACAGCCATGTGATTGACATTTTTATTTCTGTTTTCCTCTCCATAGTCTGTTCATCAGTGCAAAGACCCCTACCTCCACCTCCACCATCTTTTGTGCTGAAATCTGAAGACCCCAAGAACACAGATTTCATCAGGTCTGTCTCCCCTCCAAAAGGAAGCCCTTTTTCACACCATGCTTCGACCACACCACTGCCTTTGCCATCCACAGCAATAACCACAGATTCCCCAGTACCTGCTCCTCCAACTGGAGCAGTGGACAGCCCTGTCAAGATGAATATGGAATCTTCAAAACCTGGAACTTTCTGCAGAACGCCGCCAGTCCAAATTGAGCAGAATAGTCGAGACACACCCAACAAAAGAAATACTCTTCCTTTCACGGAGAACACACAAACGCAGATAGAAAATCAAGAAACTCTGCCAGAGAAGAAAATTGAAGCGTCCTCTACCCTCACTGCATGTTCTTCAGTCCAGGCCAGGAGAGCACTTTTTACAAATCCGACATCACGCACACCAGTCAGGAGAACAAAAAGCGAAGGTCATGTCAGAGTAGCCGTGACCCCTCCTGACCATAGACAGTCAGCCATACCAGAGGTCTGCACAGACGCTACCATGAACGACCGCCTTTGGAGAAAGCTAGAACCAAGTAGCCACAGAGACAGCATGTCCTCATCTTCTAGCATCTCCTCCAGCGACACCGTCATTGACCTGTCCCTGCCAAACCTCGCCAGGAAGAGTCTCACCAGTTTGCCCGCAGCGAACAGCTCTCCCTGGGTCAACTGCCGTCACTCGGGGCTGCTCTCCTACGATACCCTGCTGGTTGGCAAGAGTAAATCAAATCCAAATCTTCAGCAAAGTCAGAACCAAGACGATGAGCTCAAACCACGACCACTGCAGCCGTCCCAGGAGGCTTCTTTTGACTCGCCCAACAGGCTGACTCAAAGAAGACACACCTGGAGCAGGCTCTACATGGAAGGACTGAAGCAGTCGTCAGGATCCAAGCCTCTCTCTGCCGCTACGACCCCAACAGCTACGTCCTCCATGTCCAAAAGTCTGGGGGATCTGACTTCTGATGACATTTCCTGTAACTTTGACAGCAAATACCGCAGCATCAGCCGCAGCTTCATCGTCAGGCCAAACAGAGAGCAGCTCCGCAGGGCCAGCCCTCATAAGTCTCGGCCAACCAGTGACCTGACGGAGCAACTGCGAAAGCTAACCGATGTGGAGCCCCTGACTCCTAACGACTTCTCCCCAGTAAACAGGCCAAAAGATTCCCAGGAGGAGGAGGTGGACGAGACCATGGTGCGAAGGACCTCCTCCAGGAGCCAGAGCAGAGTGCGGTACATTGCGAACAGGGCCAAGAAGGCCCAGGAGAGGCTGAGGCTCCAGGGCCTGACCCAGGGCAGGAGTGCAAGCTTCAGCCTTTCTAGTAGCGTTGGCAGCAGTAGCAGTGCTAGTCCCATTGAGGAGCGGGGGAACCCAGAGGGGGCATGTTGCGTGGCCCGCAGTCCCTGCAGCAGCCTAGACCAGCTGAGTCAGCTCGCCCCACTGGGATCCCCCTCTCCCAGACTGTCTCAGTCTCCCCCAGACCCTGAAAACAGTGAAGTCTTTTTTATGCTTAAACTCTAAGAACTGGCTGAGTTGGAACTGAGTGTGAGAGACACAGCGAGAACCTTTTTGGGGTACTGTCTAATTTTTGTCTTTTTTTTTTATTTTACATACTTTTCAGAATGTCTCATGAACATAGATCATTCAAAACCTTTGCACCATCAGTAAACCTTCAGTCCTTCATCTGGAGTTTGTGCAAATTCCATTTTTATATTGTACATTGTCTTGAACAAAAAAAAGGAGTTGCTTGAGCAGCTGCAGCTACAACATCTCTTTGCACCAAATATTAAATAACTGTCTGAATGTATTTAGACATTTTTGTAATGGCTGTCCATGCTGACTGTGATCCAAACGCAAGTTTAGTTTTTTTATATTTAACTTAACGTGAACATAAAGACCCAGTAGAGAGCATTTAGAAGACTATTTTAAAATATATAATAGATATATTATTTTTGTCTAGTCTAATTGTGACTATGTACTTTAGGTTCAAAAGATATTTACTATCAGCCCATTTATCCACTGGGAATATTTTAAAAATGATGGCATGGTGTCATGTTTTAACAAAAATGTACAGTTTGATTTATCTTACATCTTTTAAAAATGGGAAAGTATGTTTGTTTTTTTTCCTACAATGCAGGAGAACAATAGTTTTTTTTTTCTCATCCCTTCTGCAGTGGGTTTGTTGTAATTCGACTGAGCTGCCAATATATTCCTTATCATTTTTGACCTGTGGCATGTCACAACACTGTACTCTAAAGAAGATGCTGACTTAAACCCCTCCTTAAGTTGACTGCATGTATTTTCTGCACTGCAATATTTATCTCAAGGCTGTGCTTTATTTGACGACAGTTTTTAAAGAAGATTTGTTAATATTCTAAACGTTTTTCACGAGCGTCTCGTCCAAATGTTCTCATCCTTCAGTAGCACTAAAGCACCACAGCATTGATCTGTATCCAAGCACGTTTACTCGTTGACCTGCTGTATCGTTTGCACTGCCATGCCAGTTCTTTGTGCGAAAAACCCTAGGGATAATATTTAATTCACACAGTGTATAATTATGATCTTAATAAATCTCAAATATATGAATATACTTTTTAGTTTTACAGCTCATTACTTCCATTCAGGGCTAATGTGTCAGCAGCTCATGTCTCAGCTCACAGACAAAGCCCAGTCATTAACAGAGCAGTTAAACCAAGCTGACATTAAAAAGCCTCTGGCCTTGGTTTTGGCAGAGTTTACTTTCAGTCCTCTAATTATGGACTCTGCTTGAGTCTGTGTTTACCAGCCATCACCTCTCTCAACCTCGGGCAAAAAAAAAGACCCCCTGAGGGAAGAGAGAATGTTCAGGAACAAAGACTCGAGTTTGAGTACAAGCTGCAGTGAAGTGGTCACTGAAGAAGAAAAAAACAGCCTTTCTGTACCACTCGCCACCCAAGATCACATTTTCAGGCTATAGAACCATTTGTTTTGACTCGAATCTAAAATGTGCCGATGTGTATTGAAGGCAAATTTGCTATAATGTAATAGAATGTATCAATGCTTGAGATAACGCTAACAGAAATGTAGCCTTTTTCACCAGAATTAGACTGAAGTGACAGGATCATGATGTCACTTCTGCTACATGTGGTCCATAAAATGTGCCGGACTTAAACAGATCTTTTAGGGATTTGGGTGAGACGGCATCACATCAGCCCTAACATTGCGTTCCATCCATCCATCCATCTTCATCCGCATATCCATTACTGGTTTGCAATCACACTGCACCGTACCAACCCCCCTGAACCTTCCTGCGGGTGGTGAGTCCACTGGAAGGTACTAACCGCACTACCCGGGATTCGATCTCGCCCAGGAGGTGAACCCTGGGGTTCCACACCAATGACAGAGACACCATTGCGTTCCCCTTTAAGAATCTGAGACATGGCTTCTTTATCTGCTGCAGTAATGACATTAAAGGTTACATGTAATTTTAGAGACCAATAGTTTTGGAATGGACCGTCCATGAATCTGACAGCATTATGAGGTCAAATTTGTCCAAACTGGATTTTCCCAGGTCTTTGACCCCAAACCACCAATGTGAGAATCTTTGCATCTTTTCCGTCACGGACACTGATCTGTCAGTCAAGGGTTTGTCCAGCGTCTGCTCTGTGATTTACAGAGCTGACAGCCACCTGAGGCGATCTGTCAGACACTTCCAGGCTTCTTCCTCAACTCTGCGAGACTTTGTGAAGCATGACATGGTGGTTTTAGTGCCACAGACTCGGCCTCAGCCAGCACACAAACACAAAAGACGACTTCATTAGGATTCTGAGGACACCACCAAGCCCCCTCCCCTCCCACCCCCCCTCCCCTAAAGCTTTATTTATCTGGACAATCTGGCACTGCTTGGCCTCTCGAAAGAAACCCCTGAGCTCGGTTTAGTCCTTTTGGTCATGAGAGAATGTTTTTGTCTCACAATGGTTCAGTCCCTCCTTTCAAGATGAAGCCATTGCCTTTTTTTTTATTGTGCAAATGGAGCAGTTAAACTTGTTTTTATCATAACTCAGATGGGAATAGAAGACAGAGAAAGAGATTTGGGAGGAACTTTATTTCAATTACGTGGAGTCTTCATTGGACTTAACGGTATAGGAGTTTAAAAGGATGTCTCTGTCTTTTCTGTCCATGTGTCCACAGTGTAGATGTAGATTTAAAGGAATATTCATTTGATTCAACCATTGGAAAAAGTGTAATTTATTTCATTAGAACAGCGCCTCCCAAACTTTTTTGGCTACACACCCTTTACTATATCCCAACTGGGCTGACAAACCCCCAATTCCACACATTTTCAGGAAAACAAAACACAACAAGCGCTGTTATAGAGTAACAATATAAGTTAAGTCTCATTGAGCAGTTTGTTCCAAAAAACGTATTTTTCCTTTTTTTTTAATCAAAGGAAAAACAGATATAGTGTATTTACTGTGAAATATGTATACACATACATCATGAACTGAATCATTATGTTAAAACAATTGTCTATTTTAACTTTTTTTTTTTAGCTATTCTGGCCCAACCTTTATGTACCTTCCCACCTAATCTAATTTCTTTCTTTCAGCAAATGCCTGGCTAACTGTTTCGCTAACACTAAACTTTTAACCATGTTCTCGCTGCTAGTGTTCTACAGCAGTGTTTCCTGAACTTTTTTCAAATGTTTTGTATAAAAAAGACAAAAAGCTCTTCCTCTGGCTCCAGTCGACCTTGGGGTCACCAACGCCCACTCTCCCTCGTGCACCGCCACCTCCCTTTCTCAAACCTCCTGTTATGTAACCTTCCAAAAAATGTTGACGGTAACTCCATAGTGTTGACTCCACACTCGTAGTACTCTGAATAAGAACAATCGTACTGTACATGTTAGAGACCCCCTCAGTGAAATACTGCAGCGTGGCTTCACCACTGTTAGGACTCATGTACGCAATACTTCAACACATCTGGCTCCTGTCTGTTCATATCATCCCTCAACTGCACCACAATCCAGTGTTTTTATTTCTCCTCTGTGCTTGTGTCTCCTCCTCCTCCTCGCTGAACTCCCCTTTATAAACCCCCCCATACTACACTCTGCTGCACACAATCTGTGGGCTGTTCAAAAGTTGAAACATATTTTTGGAGTTGATGCTGGTTCTGAAGAAGCAGTGACGTCTACTCTGGCTGAATCTTTAAAACAAGGTAAGGATTGAATTTGGTTTTTTATTTTAATTATTTGTAAAGTATTTCTCATCATAATCCAGCGTGAGTCTTTATCAAGTGTTTTTGATTTGCAGCAACATGAAAGGCTGCATTTCATTGGTGTTCTGTCTAGCAGCCATCACTGCATGGACAGGTAAGAGGACAACAACACAGAATATACACACTATTTACAAGAGATATTGGCTACCTTTGTTACAGTACTGTGAAAATATATAAACATTTTAAAGTAGTGTTTCTCCAATAGTGGGTTGTGATCTGAAAATGGGACAGGGCAATATATTTAATATCATTTTAAAAGTAAAGTGGATCGCTCCGTATTTTATCTTCATCTTTTGTAAATATTTCACTGAAAAATTAATTCTGTTTTTCAAACATTTGTCACCTTTTGAGTAAACTACAAATAACAGTCTAAGTAAACACACCAAGATCAAATGGAATAATATCTCATTAATTAATTGGAATAACTGACTCATTTTATACTATAAATACTTTACAGAATACTTTGCAAAATGTTTAGTTGAATCAGATGAAGCATTTGGTACCAAGCCGCAGAGAAGGATCACATATATATTAACAAAACACTTTTTTCTCATGCAAAGCTTCAATTGCTGCAGTTTATTAATACTGTGTTGTACTAATACAGTAATTGTTACATAATCCTTAAACCAGTGATTCCTAAAAGTTGTGCTGCTGCTCTGTGTTTTTACAAATGTGACCGGCAGAACAATCAATACTCATCCACTTGGTGGCAGCAGATGGCTATAAAACTAAACAAAAAAGATTTAAAAAGACTTAACTGTTAAAGAAAATTTGTTGTGTGACTTTCATTGATCCCTGCGAGTATGTCAGTGTTGTGTTCAACTAAACAGGCCCAGGTTTTACACTGAGTAACTGAACTGAGCATAAATTGAAAATATAAGCTCACTATATTTCAGTAATATATAATATCATTTTTGTGACAATTTTGTTTGGCGGCTTCAGGTTATTTCTAATGTAAACACTGTTATGTAAACACTGAGGTTATACACACACTACAATCCCTTTTCCAGAGTCGTCCATCCCCTGAACCTCAGCTCCTCTGACCTTTGAGTCAGGGGTTCACACTCCCAGGTCATCCTTTACACTTGACTTCAATCCCCTCTCAAGCCTCACGCCCCTACAGGAGGCCTTATAAAGAACAGACAGGGGGAGGGTGTTCATTCTCTCTCTGTTTTCACTAACACAGAGGGTTCCTGCCGTGGTCCAAAAGCCACTGCGATAAATAAGTAAACCATGTTTGGATTGAAGGCCATGAACTGACAATCATCTCCACACATCCTAGGTCCTACCATCTTCTCTGGAGGAGGTTGAAATGATGCCCCGGGCTTTTGATGGTCAGACTCGAGCCTGCATTGTAGTTTAGAAAGTTCTTTTCTGACTGATGCTGACATGAGAGGCCCTGCTGGACACGCTGCAAATCCCATTGGTCACAGTTTTAGCCTGTGCTTTACACAATGTTGGAGAGTGGCAGTGAGGTGGGGGTAAATGTGGTTGGGGGGATACCAAATCAACAGTAAAAAGGTCTTGGGCCAGGCTTTGATCGCCCCTTTCCTAACCCCCGCTCTACTGTGTGCACCTTGTAACTCTCAGTACTGCAGAAAAAAACAGCCGACAACAAGCCTGTCATTGTGTCGCTGCGGCTCTTTGGCTTATTCACTGCTGTTTGAGTGAGAAAAAACCCATGGAGGAGAGTCAGTGCAACAATACGGCTCATTAACAAACAGGAGCTGCTCTGCACGTCTGCCTGTAAACACAGAGCCCTGGCTGTAATCTGTGGCTCAGACTCAGTGTCTCATCTTTGTACCACTGATGCTTGACAATGTAGACTTTATGTAGCTTTTATTACATTCCAGGATTCGTTAAAGTTTTTATGTTGTTTTTTTTCCCATTTCAGATGCAAAGCAGTTATCCATCACCACTATAAAGGTACTGAGTCTTTGGCTTAAAATGTTAGCACAGTCCTGTGAAAAACTGTTGATACGCCTTTATTTTGTCAGTTAAACCAAAACTCCATAAACATTGCTAGAGTTTCTTTAAAAAAAAAAAACGTAATAAAACAAAAATGTTTTAAAAACTGTACCAACTTAAACAAAAACTAAAACAGAACCTGGCCTTCCTGTCATTTCCACAGGCTGAGCCTTTCACCATGAGCAAAGGGTCTGAGTTGGAGGGCTACTGCATGGACCTGATTACTGAACTGTCAAAGCGGGTGGGCTTCACCTACGATGTTCACATCGTGAAGGACAACCGCTACGGAAGTATGGATGCCAGTGGGACCTGGCATGGTATGGTTGGTGAGGTCATCAGAGGGGTACGTCAGGTTTAAGTCTCAACACATTAAAAAAACAGGATTTGTTTAGCCATTTAACCTGGAGTTTCCTCTACTGTAGACCAAAAGTGAAGCTCTTTAACGCAGACCTGTGTGACCACATGTACTGTACCTTTACGTTTCTGTCCACCAGGAGGCTGACCTGGCCGTGGCCCCTCTGACCATGACTGCAGTCAGAGAACAGTACGTGGACATGACCACGCCCTTCTTGCAAACAGGACTGGGCTTCATTCTGCGTAAAGACCTGGCCAATGAGGAGTCTACCTTCAGTCTGCTCTCACCGTTCACCACGGAAATGTGGGTCGGCATCCTGGTTTCCTTCCTGCTCACTGGTTTGGCCATATTCTTGGTGGGAAGGTAAGTGGACACTCCGGACCTAGAAACAGTTGACCCAAGCATATCTTTGGTTATTGCAAAACTATAAATTGACAATAAGAACGTTTTATATCAAGAAATCAACACTTTTGTCATCTTGGCAAAAATGCAATGTTACTGTACAAGACACAAAGATTATCAGTACATGTTTTAGTACACCGTACCAACCTTCCTGCGGGTGGTGAGTCCACTGGAAGGTAGCAACCGCCCTAACTGGGATTCGAGCTTGTCCAGGAGGTGAACCCTGGGGTTCCACACTAATGACAGAGACATTGTCTCTGGGCCAAAACGCCACTGCTTGGTCATGACCATTCATCCAGTATCTACTACTTAGTAGTCACACCTATGGTCGATGGCCAGTAGTTACCAAATATAATAAAACTGCCATTAAATTACAAATTAGCCTGATATAAATCCATAGGGTAAATGTCACAACATGGCCTAAAACGGTGTAATAATACAACTCCTCTAGACGCTGCACATCACTACTGATGTCATTACTGATGTCAACAATTAAACAGTGTAATGTTGGGTTTACTCTACAGTGAAGGTCAACATCTGCTGTGTCATGTTATTATGATTCTGTAGGATCAGTCCCACTGAATGGGCTGAACCAGGGAAGGAGGAACACAGCTTCACTCTGCTGCACAGCTTCTGGTACATCACAGGAGCTCTCACCCTGCAAGGTAACACAACGGGCAGCAGAGTACAGATGCGCTGAAAAATGTCTCATGAATTATCAAAAACGCCTCAAAAACGCGCTAAATGTATCTTCTGACCTATGCTATAGGCGCTGGTCCTCACCCTAAAGCCCTGTCTGGACGCGTAGTCAGCGCCATCTGGTGGCTGTTTGCTGTACTGCTGCTGGCCTGCTACTTCGGCAACTTGAACTCCGTGTTGCACTCCAACACCAAACAGCTGTCCATCAGCACCTTCGAAGACCTGGCCAATCAGGACGTGATCGACTATGGCACGTTGGAGGGCGGATCCACCATGTTGTTCTTTAAGGTACATGGAGGAGCTGGAACTGTTCTGTGTGCATATATTCCAGATATATCAATGTTGGACCAAAATTTTAGCCTGCACTGACACTAGAGGTAACTGACCCAGTACTGTTTTATATACCAAGTTGGAGTGAATTTACATTAACAATTTTGAAACATCTAAATATATTATACTACATTTAAGCAACTAAAGGATGTATCACTGGATTACTGGTGCTATGATATAAACTCTAATTTATAATTTTCTCCATAGTCCTCGGTGACCACCTGTACATTCAGAATATCTTTGTAGACCTTGATTGTGTTTCCTCTCATTTCCCAGAATTCCAAGATCTCTCTGTTCCAACGTATCTATGACCACATGGAGCGTAAGAAGAGCTTTGTGCCCAGTATGGAAGAAGGTATCCGTCGGGCCCAGAATGGAAACTTTGCCTTTATCGGTGAGGAAGCTTCTCTAGACCTGGCCGTGGCCCGTCACTGTAATCTGGTCAGATCACAGGAAGTCGTCAGTATGAGAGGGTACGCCATTGCAGCAAAGTTGGGTAAGAAAAAAATATGTAGAAAAGCTGAAGAAATAGGTGTAATCCCAAGACATTTATTTTCTAATGGAACATGCTGTTAGTCCACCTATCAGTATTGTAAGTGTTGAAGTCTTTCAACATAGTTTTTTCCCTTCTGCTCCAACAGGTTCCCCACTGATCAAAAACCTTACCGTGGCTATCCTGGAGCTCAGTGAGTCTGGTTTCCTGATTCATCTATGGCAGAAGTGGTGGGCCAGCAGCTGTTTGGGAGGCAACAACACACACTCCTCTGAGGCTCTGCAGCCTGGGGACCTGAGGGCCCTCTTCCTTCTTCTGGGCCTGGGTCTGGGTGTGGGCTTGCTGCTGGCTCTGCTGGAGCTCATGTCCAAGGCACGCAGCAAAGCAAAGGATGGAAAGGTGGGGGAGCAGAATTTATTGCTAAAAGATATTCGAAAGTAAATCTAGAAAAAACTAGATGGCTCAAACATATTGAACTTATTTAACAGAGAAAGCATTGAAACTCAACTGAAAAATCAAACAGTGTGGGCAGGGAGTAGTTAACAGTCACTAAATATATGACAAAAAGCTAAAGAAAATAAATGCTACCCCAGGAAAACTAAAAACAGCTAACAGGTCCTTACCTCAAAGTAGAAGAGACTATTGATTGAGCTGGGAATTAATGCTAAAGGTTTTGCTACTGTTATTTACAATTTGTCCCAAACCTCACATTAAAAGCATTTAAAAATACATTAAAAGTTAGCCTAAGAGCTAAAAGTATTTAACAACTTCTTAGCTGAAAGGGTAAATGTTAAATAAATGCTTGAAGTAAAATAAAGGTAACATAAAGTCAGGTTTGATAAGCTAAAAAATACCAAAAAATGCCGTGTAGCATATGTAGGTAAAAGTATTAGCTCAGAGTTTAACTATTTGTTAGCGGATAAAAAGGAGATTGTGAGCTAGTGGAAATCCTTCCAAGGCAAGACTGATTGTTTTTTGGTTTGAATTTATTATATTTTGTTTTTTCATTCTTTTTTCCTCTGTTTTGACAGAAGTCCTGCTGCTCCGTGCTGACAGCAGAGCTGAACCAGAGGTTTGGGAACAGAGGAGAGAGCACGGAGGAGGAGAACGCAGACAAAAGCAAAGCCTGAAGGAAAGTTCACAATTCATCTTTGATGTAGTAGCTACAGTATGAGAAACATCTCTGAGCTTCAGTTCGGCACATCACACACATTGGCTGTGTATGTAGTGACAGCCACACGCTGAGTGTTGTTGTTTCAGTAGAACCAAATATTAGCTAACCTTTTCACGAGCAAACAACATACAGTAGAACTCCCTGTCAGACACACAGGACCTACATTAAAGTAATACATACAGTATTTGTCTTTTAAGGTTTTCTCCGTGTAACTGTTTTTATATTTTCTTTCATATCCTAAATACATTTTCCAAAAACTCGTGACTCGTATTTCACTGTAAAAATTGTCTTAGTCAATTATTTGTATATATGCACACACACATATACATATATAAACATATACGTATATATGTGTGTATATGTTTGCGTGTGCGTACAACGAGAGAGAATGATGATGACGTCATTACGTACGGTAACTTGTCAACTAACCATAACAATGTGTAAAGCCTGTACAACACAACACAGTTTTTAGTACAGTGAGTGTTGCTGTTTTTCGCATGTATGACCACTTGGAGGTGCTGTCGGCTTTGTTTTAGTATGAACCTTGTCTTTGTCGCTGTCCTTTCTTCGATAGAGAACTGTAGTCGAAGTTTCAACAAAATGAATTATTAAAGCCATAATTTGATGAACAATGAAGTTAGAACAAGACTGAGGAACTCGGCACTTCAGAGTTATCTAACACTGGCGGCTAACAGGTACGTAATTAAGATTAAATGACTTGTAAAGAATTGTTTTTGAGATGCATTTTAATTAGCCAACGAAAGCTAATGTGTAAAATGCAATATATATTCGTAGTGCTATAATGACTACACTGATATAAACATTGTTTATTTGTTTTTGCCTCAAGCAAACATATCTACTATCAAGCATTAGCCTTCGCGCGCTAACGTGTTGTGTGTTTAGCTACGTTCTTGGGAAGCTACAGATTCCCTCCCTCCCCGTTTGACCAAAATTTGACCACTAAACATTTTAAATATGAACTGCTTTGTCTGGCATAAATGTAGTCCTGAGTCTCACAGGAAGTTGTCCCTAATTCTGATTCTGGTCTTCAACCTGAATCTGTACTTGACAGCTGGCATTATGTCCTGACCAATCAAGTTTTAACTCCACAACTTTCCTGACCACAGCTCTGTTTGCAGAGGGCACGATACAGCAGGGAGTGTGTTTTCAAATAGACATGTGAAATCCTTTTGTTTCATTACTGTACCTCTGACTTCATTCATTTGACTGTAAAGAAGTGAAAATAATGTGTGAAACGACCTGTACTTGAACCTGTTAATCAGCTTCAGGAGTCATTGATTTGGCACTGGCAGGAGAAGCTGACAGCAGAGGCAGAGGTAGGGGCAGCAGTGGGGCGTGGGGGTGGGAGTGGCAGGGGAGAGACAGCGAGGTACAGCGTAGTAAAAGAGCAGTATTGATCTGATGGCAGGCAGCCCCTGACAGCTGCACTAAGCCAGCACGTATTCCTCTCTGCCGGTCTGCAGCTCGGTCGACAGGGAAGTGCCTAAGCAGATTAGACTTTATATCCCACAGATTTCCTGAAGCCTCTCCCCCCGCCCCCAGCCCCGTTGCCCCTACTGTCCCATCTGCACACAAGCAAAAACAATTAAAAGCCTATTTCTGTAACTGGAGTCACACAGAAGGATGTGGCTAAAATGAACCAAGTCAACGTTTCAGTATTTAGGTCTGAGTCATAAGATTAAAGCAGAAGGAGATGTTTCTTTTTCCACATCATGTGGGCAACATGTTTCCTAGTACCCAGAGATAGTTTCCATGTCCTGTACTAGACGTTGTCCACATTTAGCTGCTAATTTAATATAGCCTCTGTATCAGGATGAATCCATTTAACAGAGTAATATTTGGTTTAAATTGGTTTTGTTTATGAAGATAATTTCTGATACATTTTCAGCCTGAATTCTATCAGACAGACCTCACAAAAAACATTAAGACTCAAACATTGTGTTAGAGATAATTGAACAACATGACAGTATACAAAACCTCATTTGTAGATACAGTTGTCAACTACAAACACAAGGCTCAAATACACAATTGTCTGAACTTATCTCTTTCAACCAAAAATGCATTCTCCTACACCTGAACCCATAAGTCAGTCTGACTGCACCCTTTTTTTAATACTGGACATATTTTTCATTACTCCTTGGACTTTTTCGTCCCACTCCAGATAAGTGTTGGTGTAGATACATGTCCCTGGAGTACATTTTTAACATTGTACTAGTTATTGTAATGTAATTGTTAAATATGACACCAGTTCCCCCCGTTATTGTTGTTTGACATGGCTTGGCCTTGATATCGTCACTTTGCCAAGTTTTCTACCATCCAAGCTTAAATGACAGCATTTTGTTAAAAAAATCTTGTAATTTTAGGATGCTTTTATATTTTAACAGTGATTTTTAAAAAAAGAATTTAAATAACATACATAACTGTAACCAAGAGGCCTAAAAACAGCTTTCAGATAAAAAATACAAGTGTTCATTGTTGAAAAGATTTGAAGGAATTAAGAGTACAGTAGTCAACTAGGAGGAGAGGGAGTTTCAACAATTCTGGGTAGGACTGAACTTTTTAGGACTCTTGTGCAAAGGGTACAGTATGCAGATTTTTGAATAATAAAAGAATAAAAAGAACAGTATATAGTAATCTCTCTCTCTCCCTCTCCCTTCCTTCTGTGTTCTCGCCATCTCTCTTTCTGTGTGAGCAGTGGCCTAGATTCCTTTCAGCACGTCCTCTCTCTGTGTTGTAGCCGTGGGCCTGTCGATGCGATCAGAATTAGAAATTCTAATGGACGTGTCACCACTTTGAACTGCAGCCTTGAAGAGCTTTGAGTCTGGCGCTCCCTTGGATATGCCGGCTGAAGTCTGCTCATTGATCCCTGTGAATTTGTGTGTCTTTGACAGTCTCTTTTCTTTCTTTTCGACCCACCTCCCCCTCCACCAACCAGCACCACCCTCCTCCAGCCTCCACACCTACCGCTTCATTCAATTTCTCTCATGTTGTCTCGTTGCCTTTCTTCTCCTCCTTTCTGCATCGCTCAGTTTTTACTGCACGCAGGAGCAGTCAAAGACGTGTGCACACACACACACCCACGCGCATACACACACATGTGCCTTAAGTAGAAATGATATGCAGACTACAGCAGTTTTCCAGTAGTACAGTACTGTCATTCAGTAACCGAGCTTCCAGCTCCAGACAAACTTCTCAATGAAGATACACCTAGTTTCTTTTTGCTTTGTAAGTCCTATAAAATCTCATTTCAATTTTGAATATTTCATCTTAAAATCATCTGATCCAATAATTTGGATCTGTCTAATTTGCTCAGTGATGGTGATATTAAATAGACAAATGGGTCTGAGAGCTGTCGGGGCCGCCATTTGCACAGTAAACTAGAAATCTGCTCAAGGACGTGTGCTTTCTTCTTCCACAACAAGGAGCCAAAAGACAAAGAGTGACGAGTGAAGACTACAGGAAACCAACCCACTACATCTGACATTGTTTCAGAAACTCAGAATGAACCATATCAATATGACTAATGCCTCAAAGCTTGGGAAATTATTCCCTGAAAAGATTCAAGGACTTTTTGCACATTTTTCTTTCAGTGCTCACTCGTCCTATCCTTTATTTTATTTACCTGAATTTTTTTTTTTTTTTTAGAATAACCTAGAACTGTGGAAAACCCCAGCTTCAGAGGAGAACTAGTTTGAGAACAGTTAAGTCTTTGGTATCGTTGCTGTTCTGCCAAGTTTTAACTGATAATCCCACTTGAGCCCATTGAATCTTTGGGGGCTTTTTAGTCTGATGCTCTTTTGACAGTCTCGTCATTCCTTTAAAAAAAAAAAAAAAAGCTAATGCAGTTGTAGTTGCATTAGCAGCAACTGCTAATGCAACTGCTCCTTTAGAGAACATATACTGATCAGGACTCATTGGAGCGCTCTCTGTCTCTGAACTGCACCAGGATCATGTGACTCACAGCATTTCCACATGGATGCAAACATTTAGTTTTAAGCTGACCTGAAGCTCACTGTCTTAAATGTAAATATATAATTTACATGTACTTTACTGCACTGTAGCCTGATGATCTTACCCATGTCCGTGGTGACGTAATGTTTGACTACATGGACATTGCTATGTTCCTGACTTTTTTCCTCCTTGTGTGCGTTTTTGTTCCTATGAGGTCAGAAGTATAATCTGATCCTTATGGCAGCAAACGTGGTGCCTTCGCGCCGCTCTTGGACTTTAGCCTTTGTGCATACATGGTGCTGCTCTTTGGCCCTGCTCCTGTTAATACACATGTCCTACAGAGGCCCCTTGCTCTTTTCCACAACTGCCAACAGTCTGAGTGACAGTGCTGATGGAACAACAACAAGGAGGCGCTGTTTGTTGTTGGAGCCCTTCGTGAAAGGCTGTGACAGTCTAAAGGGGATCCCGCTGGCACCGGGGGCACCCAATGGGATTGACCCTGGGAACCCCCTCGACCCCCTGCTTTACTTATTGATGTCTGCAGATGTGCCTGGCTGCATGATAATAGTCTCCACTGGGGAGGGACCCCCATAGAGGGCCCGTCTATAAATCACACGAGGGACCGAGCCAACAGAACCTTCTATGTGTATGTATGCTCTCCATGCGTATGAAGGCCCAACGTAGAGTTAGGCCTTCATGTGCTTTATGTGTGTGAGTGTGTGTGTGCATACATTGCAGCTGGATGAGCGCCATGCTGCATTATTGATGACCCCCAGGGAGGGATGAAAGTGTGAAGAGTGGCAGCGGAGTGGAGGAGGGAGAGGAGGAGAAGGTGGAAGTGGCTGGAGACAGATATCATTGTGCCTGGATGCATTGAATAGATGCACTTTTCATCGACGTACACATCCAGCCACTGGGTTTCTATAGAATCTAAGGCTGATGCGTGAGGTCTCAGGAGACCCCTGAGACAGGTGAAGGAGGAAGCAGAAGCCGGGCGCTGAGACGTCCCCCAACGTGACATGAAGGTATGGATGGAGTGATGGTGACAGACGAGTGAAGGACACAACAGTGAAGGGGAGAAGAAAGTACAAAAGCCGAGGCCTGACTAAATGAAGGTAGAATATAAATGATGATTCTAACTCACATGCACCAGCAGTTTAATGAAGTTTCAAACATCCACATAATGGGCCGTAGCCTCTTCAGTCATGAGATCTTAACCCACCTGAACACCTACTGAAGGTTTTATTGGTAGTGACCCTTTGTGTCTAATTTAAATGTGCTTTTTTATTAAGGACTGTTTAACATTTTTAGCCCATCCTTCACGGGCCATTCAAAGTGATTGATCTCATATGTCACAATAACCTCTCTAAATTTATTGGCTGGAACTGCTTCTCTTTGATGGACCATCTGATAGCAGATGGTTGTTATGATAATGACGCTCACCTTTGCTGCTACAATGCATGGTTTATAATATCTCTGCAATGGTCTTGCATACAGACGAAGGGCTAGTATTTGATTGGTCTGATGTTTGTCCACAGTGTGTTGTATCAGATCAGTACTCTGGAGGAATGTTGTCTATGTTTGAGATGCAATGAAGAGCTGCTGGGTGTGGCCGTGTGTCTGGGTCTGATCACATTCTTATCAATGTCCTGTATAGTTTTTGAATTATTGGGTTATTATTTTAATGCTGAACAAGAAACGTCAAATGTCTGGATCTCATGATCATTTAGTTTCAGAGGTACGGAATATATTTTATATTTACTCACTAAAGTACATTACAATACACATTACAACAGATGCAGGTCCAGATTGCAGAACCTGGTCCAGACTTTGAGGAGCCCTAGATATACATTGTAAACATCCTACAAAAAAGGAAAAAAAAACAAAACATTATTTAGAGAAACAAACTATTACAAACACTACTTATTCAAATTGTAGAAATATAATTTATGTATTGACAAAATGTTCCTGACCTTTGAATTAGTCATGAATATAACCAGCTGTGAAACACAAACATCTACCACCTGGTATTTGTCCTTATGTTCTAGAATTATTCAGTTTTTGGGAATGTAAATGTATCTAGATTAATCACAATTAATCATGCTTAATATCAATTGCCATTAATCCACAGCTATCCTGTGATTAATCCTATTATAAATTGACAGCGCTGGTATTTTTTTTTTATCTGTTCAGAACAATTTGTTCTGAATGTTAAGACTGCACTGTATATATTGCATGCGTAGTTCACAGTAACACAGTAGCTAAAAAGAAAAGAAAAACAATCAAGGTCAGAATGGACAATTTGAAGCAGGGGTGTCAAACATAAGAATTTGAAAGTAAAAAATACAAAAAACACTCAATGTTCATAATGGTTTTTAAAATTAAAAAACATATATTTTCTAATGTACTTCAACCTCTTTGACTTCCCTGGTTTAAAGTGTTCAGTTCAAATCCTTTTGCTTGTTTATGGACTATGTGATGGAAATGAAGCTCCTGGAGGAAACCCATACGTACACTGGGGGTCTTCCACAAATCCACAAAGAAAGTCCTTCAGTTTAGGTAAAATATCTGTAAAATATCTGTAAAATGTAGAATTGCATTGCAGTGTGTCTGTGTCTCTTTGAGTTTTCTTTCTGGTTCAGGCCTTGGTGCACTCTGGTCTGGAACGTCAGAGTGAGAGACCTCCCTCCTGTTACTGTGACTCCTTGTGTACTCCCAGTATACCGTACTGCTGTCAGGGGAACAGATAGAGTTTGCGTTATATGTGTGTATCCCCCTGGTGCTGACACGGGGAAACTCAGCATTGAAGCTGGTTTAGCCTGCAGTATGGTAATCCAACGTATATATTCCTTGTTTATATGGAAAAGTTCACTTCACTGTGCAGTTATGTCAACACGTTGACAGGGAGGGTGTCACATGGTTGGTTCTGCAGGACCTGATTACTTGGATTCTGCACAGACCTGACACAGGTATAAATGGCCCAGCCTGGGATTGTGGCAGCCATTGACACCCCGCTCCCAGCTGCTGCTTCTTACTAATGACTGCTGTCAGAGAGGACAGGCCCCTGCTCCTCTCTGGGGTATCGATCTTCCCTCACATTTTTGTCCCCACTGTTTTACGCCGTCCTCCTGCAGCCGCCACTGCACTGAGCGTCACTGCTCATCGCGATTGCCAACGTGTGCCGCACCGGTTTCATTCACCTACTGATGTCTCTGAAATAAATACCTGGAGCCAACGGATGTTTGTCAGATTGTTGGTGACATTTCTGAGCTTTATTCAAAATAACATTGAATGTGGTGCTAAGACTGATAACAGTGATAAATTCTGTTCAAGAATGTCTCTGGTTAACTTTATTCTCAATTTCTAATTCATCATTATTATCAGTATCAATTGATTATTTTTTTCTATCTTTCC